TCCCGGATGGCTCTGTGAATTTTGTCACACTTCACATGGATCATATTTTCTCACGCATTGCATAGGCCATGCCAGCAAGTTCGATGCTGCACTGGTCGATGCCCAACACCAGAATTGGAATGTTCAACCACCACTCTAACCGCGCGCCGCCCAATCTCCAAGCATAATCGGTTTTCATGCTTTTTAAATGGGATTTCAGGATTGCATGAATAATGAGCTTTGCGATCAAGGGGAACTCAGAATTTGCTGCGACCCTTGCACCAGCAGCTTCAAGCAGCATGACGATCCGTCTTTTTTCCTTCGAAAGCGCTCAGTCCGCTTTCAGTCGGCCCTCGGCCTTGGCAGAACTGGAGGCCGGCTCTTCCTCGGCCTCTCTCTTGTTTTCGCCCGTCTCTTGTGGCAGGCTGACTGGAGGGAATTTTTCTCGCACCTGAAGCTGCTTCTCTTCAGGCAGAGCATTAAACCACTGAAAACTCCACGTCGTGGCCGCCAGGCAAGCTTGCTGAAAAGAACGTGTCACACCACGGCTGTACGGATTCGCAGCTGCAGGAACAAACGAAAAGGCACGGGAACGTTTGTTGCCATATTTCAGCCCATCGGGAAGAATCTTCACCTGCACGAATGGACAACAATCTTCCGGTCGGCCAATATAAGCACGGGTTCCGGGTGCCAACTTGTGCTGTGGCAAATCGTAGCGGTGCGGCTCCTTGCGATCGTGGGTACCACCATCTCTTCTCTCCTGATGTTGCAGTAAAGTCAGGGTGGCAAGACCGATATCGACCCAGGAATTGAAATTAAAAGCACACACACACACATAGAATGTAGAAAACTACAACACAATCGAGTTGCCTGTCTGTCATCTGGCACAGCATGTCCCATGGGCACATCAGCACTGGCCGGTTGCTCGTCATGCTGGGGTGCTCGCGTATCATCGGGTGGCCTGCTGTCCTGCTGGCCTGCATCAGGCTCGCCGCCCTCTTGTGCAGCATCAGCATCGTCATCCTCCTCGATGTTGTAGTTCATGGCCTCGTAAAGCTCAGCTTCCTCGGCCTCGTCATCCGAAACATCGCCAGCGGCATCGTCATCCGGCTCCTGCGGGAAACCACAACTCCTTTTACACCTGGACTATGCATAAACCCTAAACCCGAAAGGGGGGGGAGGGTTACCCAAAAAGCAAGCCCCCATTTTTCCAGCCCCTCTGAGCCCACAAAGCAACCCCGGGTGCCAGTGTTTGCTGGGCATCTTGACCTTCCAGTTTCGTGAAACATGCGAGCCAGCAGTAACTGTCGTAGGAACCGTCGCGTAAGCATTGAATCCTGCTGGCCCGGCCAAGCTAAGTTGACCTCAATCACCCTGCCATGCGATGTTGGCCCGTAACTGACATACCCCTGCAAAAGCTGAGGTGCTTAAACAAATCCCTCCCAGATCAGAACAAAGACATCAAACCCAACAACTCCCGAACCTTGTTTTTATTTTATCCAGAAGAAACCCTCAGACTTTATCAAATGAGTTGTTTGACCCTGGATCCTATTTGCCTTCGTGTGTCCGCACATAGGAAATAGGGGCTTTAGTGCCGCACGACGAAACTACTTTGCTAACTAAGCGTACACATACAACTTTACAACACGAAAACATTGGAACTGCACAGAGAGCAAGCGACCGGGCCTTCTTCTTCCGCTCTTTAACCGGAATACTGTCGAGGGTGTCTTTGATCAGGTCCTCGGGCATCTGGTGATGGCGCATGATCTGCTCCACACGGCTTCTCTGGTTGACTTTGGCGAGGTTCAATTTCAAAGTGTTGCCATACTCCGTCAACACACCTGCTCGCACCTGGCTGATGGTGTGACGGCACATGAACTCTCCAGGGGAATACCATTCCAGAGGTCTCACCAGTAAGCCATGCTCCTCCGATGCCACCGGCTGCGGCATAGAGAGCTTGCCGAAGCACATGTGGAAGTCCAGCGTCTCGTGCACCTGCAGCTTGCCATCATCGAAGCCGTACAGCTCGTCATAGCCTGGCACCTCGACGAGCTTCAGCTGCATGTAGCGGACGGCATGAGGACCTCCAGACAACACAACCACCACAGCCTCATTGTTGAAGCTCTCCTGCTGCCACAGACATCCCGGCGTCAGCGTGTTCGAAGGCCAAACCTCTCGAAGGATTTTGTCCATATCGATGGCATGGCCATCACCGGCAAAAAACTTGCGTTTGAGGTTCTGGAAGAGCCTGAGCCTCTGGCAATAGATGTGGGGCTTCGTGACATAGCTGAGGTTCTTCTCGCAGATCAGCTCCTGCAACGGTACTCCGAGATTTTTGTCGCGTTCGCGAGCAGCTTGAAGGATATTGGATCTGAGCACTTTTGCCTGGTCGTGGCTGTTCCAGTCTGCATTGTCGACCTCAACTGCATGCAAAGGTGACCTGTGTCCACTGGATCGAATGCTGACGGCCGCCAGGTGAACAAGCTTGGCCATCTCGTGCTTGGCATGCCGCCGCTGAGCATCTCGCAAATCGTTAAACATAAGTTCGTTCGGCAGCGACGACAACAGGGCCTTCGTGTCAGAGCCTGCCAGTCTCGCGGCCAAGGCTCGCACACGTTCGGAGTCCACGTGACTCGCATCAAAGTCGATTGACCTGATAGGGTTAGAGTGTATGGACGATTTATCACGAACGGAGCAAGCACTGAAAAAAAACAATATCGGATATACTGAGACTGCAGTTCAGTGGCTCGGCCTCTGTGAAAAGCTCGCGGAAACACTGCATCTCGGTGAAGGTGAAGAGGCGGCGGGCCTGGGAAGTGCTGCTGAAGCCATCCAAGAACAGAATGAACTTCCATTCTTCTCTCATGTGCTCCAACACACCAGGCCAGTGTCTCTTCTCGAGGCAGAGCACAGACCTCCACGGGTAGCAGCACATGTAAGAGTCGATCTCACATGCAGAACCCAGCCACCGCACGAGGCAGTCATACAAGAAGGTGAGGACCTCTTGTGCCGTTTCATCCACTGCCGCGTGGGCACAGTTGCAGTAGATCAGAGCCTTGGGAGAAGTGCAGTCGGCGATGGTCTTCCTGTGCTCTGTCAAGCATAACAAAAAATCACCCTGGCTTAAATCCCCGAACCCTAAGCCCTAAATAAGGAGTATTCTTTTTCTTGTAAACATTCTGCTTCAACCCCAAAACCCTAAGCCTTTAGTAACAAATATCCCTAAACACTTGAGCGTGAGTGCCGAAACACTAAACCTGAACCCTACACCCAAAATCCTAAACCCTAAACCGTAAACCGCAAAAGAAGAATGGTTGGAACCGCACAGGCGGGAATCACACGTCAGCTTTCAGCCCTCAACCTCGCGGACTCAGAACTGTAGTGAGGATCGCTACCCGAGAATGCGATATACGATCAAGGTTGTGACCATGGGCCAAACTCCATTTTGACTTAACTTTCCAGTTCAGTTTAGGCTCCAGGTGTCATTGAGTTCGTTATCAAACAGACGTGGACTAGAAGGGCTGGATAGTTCCAAATGATGGCATGCCGAATCTTCGGAAACGGGGCCTGTCCGTAACCTCACATGTGCAAACTTTGAACCCCACACACATTGCTTACACGAAAACAAACTCTCTCGAGCTCGCAAGCAACAAAGGTCCTGATCAGGCCCCTCACAGTCTCGCCGGAAGCGAGACCGATGGCCTCTTTCACAGAGCCGTTCATGTCATTCTGCATGCTTTTGTTCTCAGCGTGCAGTCACCAATTCTTCCGGGGAGCTAGAAAGGGTGTGGTCAATGCTCTGTGAACTTAACTTCACCAACAGTTTATGCTGCGAAGTTGCTGCCTTGCCCATCCACAGCCGAACAGCAGTATATACACAGAGCATGCTTCTCATCTTGTCCTGGTTGGTGGAGTCGGAAAGGACCTGTAGGTGCAGAAAGTCTGCAATTCAGATGTGCTTAGCTTTGCGGGATTATGGCCACTTTAGGTTGAAGTTTACTTTCGAGCCTCCCAGTACAAGGCACGGATGGAGTAGCTCTGTTGGCCTTTCTCATCATCTGCAGACTCCAGAGCCGAGGAGGAGCCCAGAAGATCGTACGGGTTGATGCCCTGCTCCCACCAACCAAACAAGGACTCCAACAGTCGCAAACTCCACGTGCCTGAGCTTGCCGACAAAAATCTCAGGAAGTCGGTGTGAGACTCCGTACTGCGGGAAAATGAAAGAAGAACAAGCCCAAAGACGGTCGAATGAAGAGGCGTGATCAAACCAGGCCATCCATCGACCCTCTTTGCACTCTGCTTGTCCGAAGTGCAAGCTGCCTCGAGGAATTGGGTGTTTCAAGTAGCACTCAGACTCACACGAAACTTTATCTTTTTCTCGCTCAGAGAATGCGGCAGAAAACAATAGCTGCAGGAGCAGCACTAGCTGCTAGGCACTAGTCAGTAGCACCGACAAGGAGAGCTGCCTGCACATTTCTTGAGCTCCTGCAATGCCCGTCGTGGAGACATTTCGGAGACTGGGATGCCCAAGTCCCTCGCCATGCCACAGCAGCAAGCATCCAAAGCATTGCTGCTTGCATCGCGATTTTCAAGCTCTTGGATCAGGCGTAGCCTGGTCTCTAGCCTTTGTTTGCCAAACTTGGCCGAGTCCCATGGTGCCCTTGAGGACCGGAAAAGCTTCGTCAGCTTGCTGAGCAACAGGCGGCTCTCGCTGCAGCTGGCGATTGCACCAGCCTGCTTCCTGTGGATCTTGTGAAAGAGGTCAGGCCAAAACATGCAAAAGCATCCTTGCTTCGCCACATACTGAAATGCTACGAAGAGGTCCGTCCCTTCGTCTGCTGCCCAGCACAGCGTGAGAGGGGGCGACCCACCCACTGCCATCGGCGCCTGGCAGTCCAGACTGACCTCGCCTGACTCGGTGTTGAAGAGGAAAAACCGCCTCCTGTTCTCTGGGAAAGACAGGAGCTGCTTCTCGTCCTTTGTCAGTTCAAGTCTCTTGCACGTCTCGCCTCTCGGCCGCAAGAGCTGACTTGGAACAGTGTCGGCAAAGGAAAAACCCTGCATATACACACCGATGGCGTTCTTGATGCTGTGAAGAATTTGCTTAGCACTTTGTCTGTGCGTCACAAGGTGTCGGGCCGTGTTGACTAGTTTCTTGCTCTTCGTCGGGAGGCCCCCCTCAAGGGCCATGTCCAATGCCTTGAGGGTGGTTTCGGCATCGCGGCAAGGTGCCGTGTCTGGCAAGATCTGCAGAAGGGCAGCTTGGGAACACTCACCAACCCGAAATTGGAAGGTCAGCACCTGCACATAATGAGGCACCGACCGGGGCAGCACTACACAGAATGAAGAAAGGAAAGATGAGGAAAAATCGACCTAATGACGGGCCCCACGTACATAATTACCGGCCTGCTGTTTGCATACCCGGGCAGCATCCAGGCAGAAGTTCAACGTCTTCAGGTCGCACTGAGACTTCACATCATCTGCCATGGCCTGCGAGGCCTTGGCCATGTAGCGGATCAGCCATTCAGAACAAGCTCTCTGAGCGATTCTGCTTTTGCTTGACACGATCCCCAGCTCGTGTAACGAAAGCTCGTCTTTGCTTGTCGCAAATCCGCCTGATTTGGCGCCGAAGCGGGCCAGGAACTTGTCTTTCAGAGCAGGATGCCCCTGAGAGCGGGAGTGCTTCAAGTAAGGGTGGTACGTCGAGCACTTCGTCGGGTGAGGACATGAGGATAGCAAAGGCGATCCATCTCGCTCGAGCCTTACCTCGACGTGCTGGCAGAATTGATGCAAGAGTCTCATGGTCACTGTCTGTGCTAAGGGAGAGTCGCGGATGGTCGGCCTTTGCCGTGCTGCCAGCAACAAGAACAAGCATTTCCCGACCGTGATGAAGTTTTTGTCGTTGCCGAAGTATCTGACAGGGGTGACACTAAGCTGAGGACTGCATGAGTTCATCGGAATGCCTACTTAGATGTTGAGCACAGTCCAACCTGGTCGTGAGCTCGACAAGTGCACCGAAACCTAATCTCTGCAGAGCAGCGTGCCAATCCTCGATTCGAACCATGTTCTCCTTTGCCTCCACGTGGAGGTCCGGAAGCAAAGCCAACATTTGATTCATGCTGCTCTGCTTGTCGAAGGTCTCAAAGACCTTCCAAACCTTTTGGACAGACGTGTTCGTAAGTCCACGGTTTTGCAACACACTGCTCAGGCACAAGATCATGCCAGGGATGGTGGCACAATCGACTGGGGTCTTGAACTTGCATTTCTGCGTGGCCCCCTTGTAGGAAGTTCTCCGTATGACCTCCAGCGACCATCGGAAGAAGAAGGGGGATAGAAGCATGATCGAAATATTCAGAGAGTTAGACAAGGACTCATTGCAGCAGGAAGGCATGTTCATCATCCAGATGCCAGGCGTCCAACAGGGGCTTCGTCCCAGAGGCGAAAGACTTGCTGTACCAGGAAGCAAAAGCGGTTTGCAGCTGCCAGGCTTCTGTAAAAGTCACGTAGTGTCTGTATCCATTCGCAGCGTTCTGAGGTTCAACCTCTGAAAAACAGCATGCAATCGGCTTGGTCACAGAGAAGCCGCCATACAGAGAGAGACAGACACACAGACACACAGGCACACAAACACACCCCTGCACACCCCACATGGTCCCTGCGGCCTGCAGAATGGACCAAACATCAGCGTCCACTTGCATGAACAGCCACTTGAAGTCCGGACTCGGCTCCGTCCTGTTCCCCTCTGCCGCGGATTCTTGCTCAGCTGCTTCTGGTCGAGACTCCAGCTGTTTTAAGGCATCCGGAAGAGGCAATGGTGGAATGGGCAAAACCGCATCCGTCAGGTCCTGGGCCCTCACAACAGCTTCAAAGAGCTGTCTCCTTGTGACATCTTCGGACAAGAAATACGTGAAGAGCTTTGCTACCTTCTCGTGTGTCTCTTCGTAGATTTCATCCACGTGCCAAGCACCATCTACTTGAAGCAGTTTCGCATCCTGCTTCTCTAACAACTCCACGAGTCGCTTGGAGACATTGTTAACAACCTGACCAATGCCCGAGACCTACTGATTGCGGGGTGAGGTTTAGCAGTACGACAAAAGTTTTGCTGATGTGAGGGCTGAACATCTGAGAATGGCTTGCTTATTGAAGGTCAAAAGGCTTTGCTTGTCGGGGGCTGCACACTCTGAAGTAAGTCGTTATGCTTATGCTGGTATTAGTACTCTGAAGAAGCTTTGCTTATTGGGGGGGTGAAGATGCTGAAGAAGTCTTGATTACTGTGGGGATAGTACACGGATAGTGCAATGAAAAACAACTTTGCTTTTTGGGACGTGGACACTCTAAACAGACTACTGCGGGACGGTCTTCCTAGCTGAGTTGAAGGCTCTGGGTTTACTGCGTTGGGTTGCTACCTCGAGAGCGAGCCTCCTGCCACTGTGTCGGCTGTGGCACAGGTTCGAGCATGTTCGCGGTTGCAAAAATGGCAAAATGCCAACTTCCGCGACGGCAAGCATAGGACAACTCTGTGAATGTCGTGGGGGGGGGGCAGGGCTTTGAGGTGAACCACTCATACAATGAGAGAGCATGGAACACACATGTGCAGCCTGGGCTCATGATGGAATGAAGAAGCATTCTAAACACATTCCGCAGCCTGGCCTCATGGAGCCCGAATTCAGGAGTGCAAGGTTCAGGGGACTTCGCATCCCCCACCGTCCCACTACAAAGCAAAGGACTTCAGTCAGTGATACGAGGCAGCAGGGGGATCGGGCAATGGTGCAAGCTCAGCACGGACCTGAAGCAGCAGTCAAGGAAGGGGCCGAGGCACAACCCCGGACCCAAAACCCTAAACCCCGCCAAACCGTAAACCATCCCAAAACCCTTAACAGAAACACCGACCACCACAACCAAGCCAACCCAGACGAACAGGCAAAGGCGAGCAGGATAAGGGCCAGGCGAGCTGGACAGCAGGAGGAGCCAAGACCTGGGAGGATGGGATGCGGGAGGGGGGAAGGGGGGGGGGGGGAAGGGAGGGTCGTTGGGCTCAGGGTTCGCATGCACGACAATTCTGACCACCAAGCCCGGAAATCACAGCCCCAGTAACCCACCCCCGAAGCACAGGCAAACAGCTCAAGGTCGCGGCCATTGGATGCAGAGTCGTTGCTGCTGTGATGTTGGGACCTGCAGCAGAGCAAAGGAAGGGACACACCCCGAACCCAAAACCCAAAACCCCCAAACCCTAAACCATCCTAAACCCTAAACACAAACACCCACCACCACAGGCAAGCCAACCATGACGAACAGGCAAAGGCGAGCAGGATAAGGGCCAGGCAAGCACGACCGCGGAAGGAGCCAAGACCTGGGAGGGTGAGGGGGAAGGGAGGCGGGGGGAAGGGGGGGTTCGTAGGGCTCAGGGTTCGCAGGCACGACAACCAAGCCTGAAAATCACAGCCCCAGTAACCCACCCCGAAGCACAGGCAAACAGCTCAAGGTCGTGGCCACTCGATGCGGCGTCGTCGATGCTCTGATGCTGGGACCTGCAGCAGAGCACTGGAAGGGACACACTCCGAACCCCAAACCCTAAACACCCCAAGCTCAAGGTCGCGGCCACTCGATGAGTCGTCGATGCTGTGCTGGCACCTGCAGCAGAGCACAGGAAGGGACACACCCCGAACCCCAAACCCTAAACCCCCCAAACCCTAAACCATCCTAGGCCCTAGACACAAACACCGAGCAGCAGAACCAAGACGACCGCAAGCGAGACAGCCAGCAAACCCCGAAACCGCACAAGCTCGAATGCAGAAAACGAGGTCGCGGCCGATGCATCCGGAGAAGTCGTGCTTGCCTGCAAGAGAGCACAGGGGAGATAGAAAGATGTTAAATCCAAGGAAGGGAAGTACGAGAGGGCTGGGGTAGGACGAGGGGGGGCTTGGGCTTGCGGGGAGGCTTAAAGCAAGGACCTTGATGGGCACTCCTACCATGGGGCTCAAGGGGTTCAGGTGCCCTGAAATCTTAGGAGGGGGCGGGGGAAAGCAAAGGAAACCCTGGGGCAACCCCACACACAGGCAACGTTTTCACTTCAGCAAAAAGCCATCCAAGCAAGGGTGTGCTCCGGACATCCCCCCCAAAATCAGCTAAACCCGGCCTATGCCTAGGATATGCAGTCTAGAACCCACCAACCCCCCGGAGCACACCCTGAAACTCACCCCTCGTTGTGACACTCGCAAAGTGCTAGTGATGCTGCTGTGTCATATGTTGTTGCTGCTGCTAAGTTTTACACGTGTGTGTGTGTGTGCATGTGTCTGTCCGTGTGTGTGTGTGTGTGTCACTGTGTCTGTGTGTGTGTGTGTGTGTGGCTGTGTGTGGCTGTGTGATGCTGTGTGATGCCGTGTGGTGCTCTGGAAACTCCTCAGGGAGGCGTCGGCGGGATGAAGCCGGTGTCATCGTCATTCTTCGTGTCGTCATCTTTCTTCCTGTCATCGTCCGGCGGCAAAGCGCCATCGCCTGAGCTGCCCGGCATGTTATCGTCCTTCTTCTTGTCATCATCTGAGCTCTTGTCATCGTCCTTCTTCTGACCTGCAGACCTCAGCCTCATCTGGTTCCACATAAGCTGGTCGAAGCTGTAGTCGTCATAAAAGCCAGAGGGAGGAGTGAAGACGGTATCCTCATCGTCCTGCTTCTTGTCGTCATCTTTCTTCCTGTTAGAAGAAGGCTTCTTCATAGCCATAGCCGGCTTTTTTTTGCAGCCCTTCACAGGCATCCCCAAAAAAAGACCAGGAAGGTAAGTCAGCAGCTCAACACTTGCCAGGTAAGCAGCTATGCCATGCACGGGTCCGCGGAAGCTTAGAGAGAGCACAGCCGGGTGGTTCAAAGTGTTGATTCTCAGACCTTAAGGATCCACGGACCATGTTTTCATACCTAGCTTTGATCCTTAGCTATGCGAGAGGGAAAAAATACCTAGCTTGTCACCTTCATTGCCCCACAGTGGCTTCAGACATCAGTGACACAACCGAACTTGCACAAGTGCTTCAACTGACCTGCCCAGCACTACTGTCAGCACATGTCAGCACGGAAGCCCCAACCCCGAACGAAACCAAAACCACAACCCCAACCCTACAGCCTCCGTCTGCTTCTCGGCCGGATGCTGCCCGCCAGGTGGATCCTGCCACGACGATTCCGGATTATAGAGGGTTTAAGGTTTAGGCCTTAAGGTGTTTACTGTTTGCTGTTCCGATCTCAGGCTTCGAAGCTTCGGGCTTCGGGGTTGAGGATTTCAGTGTTTGTGACCCGTGTGGGCTGATGCGCTACAATTGACAAGCCCAGATGATGGTAAACCTCACTCATTCAGGGCTTAGTGAGGGTTCGGGTTATGTCACAACATGACCATGAGAACCCCGTTTATTAGTCCAAGGCTTTCCTAAAGTCCTGAAGCCCATATTCTTGGGATGATCCGGGCCCCAGAAAGTTACTTCTCATCCCCCCCCCCCCAAACCCAAACCCTAAACTCTAAACCCGAAACCCTAAACCCTAACCGTCTTGTCGAGATTTGAAAAGGCCTTCAGCTCACTGGCGCAGAGGAAGGTGAACTCTGCCGGGTAGGTGTACAGCACCACATAACTTCTTGCCTGATCCATCGGGTTTAGGGCTTATAGGGTTGTAGGGTTTAGTTAGGGCTTATAGGTTTGTAGGGTTTAGTTAGGGCGTACAGGTTTTTGGGGGTTAGCTAGGGTTTAGGGTGAAGTATACCGGGCCCCCATGGAAAAAGCAGGACTCTGGATCTTCGTGCTGCTCTAGATGAGGGTGTTCCTTGCCGAACTCCGTTTGCCACTGATCTTGCTGCGAGACTACACTGATCCCACCCTGGATATCTGTAAGGCCTTTTGCTACACTATCGCTCGTTTCAACCGAGCCCCGAAAACCCACCGCCAAACTCATCAGTGGCTGTCGCTGCATGTCGCCGGTTTCTGAAAATACCACAAGCTCGCGGATGATACAGTACACAGTTT